CTTTTTCTACCCCAGCCACCTCTAACGACCGATTCGCAATCGCTTTACGTCCCGCGAATCAGCCCCGCTACCGCTCGAACCAAAAAAGAAGTGGCACGCATTTCGCCAGGAATAACGACGTAGCGGAACTTTCACTCGCGATAACGTCCGTCTGGTTCTGCGGAGCTCGACGCATCCCTCCGTCGAGAATCATTACCATACGACGCTCGTCTTATTGTAAAACTTAACCGAAATCGTGGTCCAGGAGATTGGCTCCTTTGTGCTCCTCACGACCGTGACACGCGTATCTTAACCCCTCCGGACGTGATTTATTTGCAGATGATATTCGAACGGTCAATGCGTCCCTCGCGTGTCCACAAATTCGTCTTGACAAATTTATACGTCATACCTTTTTAGAAAGCTCACAACGATTCAAAGAGAGATATCAATCTCGGACGAAGGCGATCGTCGTCTCGATGTTTTCCTTCTCGATGGAAAGATTTATAATGATCGTTACGCAAGTACGAAAGTTTCTTTTCCGCGGTTTCCCGGTGATACGCATTCTCCGAACGTTGAACGGGGGGGAACCGATATTTACGAGGGATCGGTGACGGCGCGGTTTGATATTTATTTAGACGGGGAGAGGGCCTTCTAATTTATCTGGGAAACAGCCGAAGCCAGGCAATATTTTTATCGTGGACGTTTAATTTCGTAGAAATTCCTTCGCTGGCAAACCGGTCGCACGCCAAAACGTCATTCAGAGAGAGACGGACGGACGGACGGGCTAACCCGCGGACCGGTCACGTCCCGTCCCGTCCCCGCGATGGGGGATTCCCCTGGCGAACGTCACCGTCTCTTTCTGATCCCTACGCCTCTACAAAAAACCATCCCGATTCCGTACAACAGGTACTCCACTCGTTCGCTCCAGTAAGTAGATTCGGCCAGCGCTGGTCAGGCACAAACGCGATTTTAATGCGTTGACCAAGTAATTTTGCATTCCACATCTTCACATTCATTGTTATTTATGTACGTTCGCGGATATAAAATATCTGCAATGTGTTCACTATGACTTGATGCATTCGTACGAAAAATAAATGTCCAGAAATCAGCAACTTTTTTACAATGTACATTACGGATTTAGAAAAAATCTGAATATTGTATTCAAAACTTGAAATTATTATTTTGAAAGGACAAAAAAAGAAAGAGCTACTTCGATTTCTAAACTGACATTACAAATATTTCGTTCTCCATACAGTAAGATTAAACACGATTTCGGACGTTGTCGATTAGACGTTTGAGAAAAGGAATTCGTTTTGCGTTCGAATTATTTTTTCGCGAGGAGAAAGCACGATAGATAACTCTACCGCGGAATACCGAGCCTCGGATACCGGATATTGTAAACCGACCTTCACCGCGAAATCCGTACACCAAGACCAACCTTCGGCTGGCAAGAGAGCCAGCCAGCCGAGGCAGCCTCGTTCAAATCATACGGCCAATGTCGCCACGGCGACGAATACTTTATGGCTTATCTGAAAATTCGGGAAAAATGCGGCCGGGAACCAGTTTCCCCGTTAGCCCCCGTTACGCTCAATCAACTGCGTGCTCGATAGCGTGCCGCTAATGAGTACTGCTCGAGAAGATTTTTTGAAGATCCGTAGCGTAGAAATTGTGAAAACGAGATTCGAAACTGTACCACAATTTTTCATAGAAATTCACCATCTCCTTTCCCATTGCTCTTGTTATATTCGCGTCCTATTAATAATACAAGTAGAACTTCTCTGGCAGTGTTTCAACCAATTGATCGAGCGCTTACAACGTACGAAACATTTGTCTCTTTTTTTTTTTTTTACTACGAGTAATCTATTCCGTGTAACGTTATGTAGCGAACAGTAGTATCATTTTTTGCCCTTAACGTATCAATTTGACAGTTGACAAAATTAAAAAAAGGAAGATCTCGTAGCTCGTCCCATAATGTAAATCGCGCGACTTGTTTATTGATTACAAGACGCTGGTACAAATGTATTTCGGATACACGTATATAGGCGTGCATTCGTATATATTCGTGCAAACTCATTAACGTAATTAATGATACGGGAGACCGTTTCAGTAACAGCCGGCGGAATAAATAAGCGATAATGTTATGTAGATGCGAGCGATCAATCCCGACGTCGCGCGATAAGAAAGCCAAAAAGAGAAAAGAGAAAGATGAAGAAAAAATGAATCGGTGACTCTTGGTTGAACGTTCCACGGATCATCGATCCCACCCATGAAAATTATTGCCTTTTTCTTTCCCGGTCGGATGAGGTCCGAGGAAAAGCAAACGGATTGCAGCGCGGGAAACGCTTCATTGTCATGTTTACGGAGCGAAGTTACTGCGAAGATGATGCATCGTTCCGAGAATGAATATTCGATGGACCCTCGAGCATAGGATTAAACTGATTTGTTCGCTGCGTCTTGGAGAGATCGTTTTATACGCTTCTGGAGGTGACTGAAAAGGTGCGAGGGCGAGGGATGATTACGTTCGTTCGCCCGGTATAATGTTCTTCGACGGTCCATTAAATCTACCGAACGGATTCTGCAGACATATCGTAGCACTTAAGAATCTATGATATTCTCCTCGCGTTCTTCCCCCTTGGAATATTAAAACGGGATTCCGGCGTTAAGATTTGTTCCGTTCAATGAAATAATCCGATTATCAGGAATACGTGTCTGCATTTCGGACTTTCGACGATTTTCACGAATGCTCGTAAATAAAACGGAGATCCGTGATTCCGCGGACGTACATACATCAGCTCCACAGCAACCAAGCAGCCGTATCAGAAGACATATATAACAATCGAGCGCGGTGAACAGTGGCAAGCTCGTTCCCTTCATTCGCGCGGGGAAAGAGCAACGATTCCAAATAGAGACAGAAGGGAAGGAAGATTGCTGGTACGATTCTGATTAATCGCTCTCGGTGGTTGCAATGATTTCACTAACATTTGTTTCGCTGTAATGAATTTCATTTTCAATATCTATATTTCCCCTCTATAAATGGTTATCGTCTATCAAAAAATCTGACAATTATTTCGAACTAGTAATCAGACACTATTTCAACTGAGGAATTGTATTAAATGATTTGATGTGATCTGACCGTTAGTGTGAATAAAATCTTATTTCGCAGAGAACACGTTTCAAATTCTAGTCCACATTCTTTCCGCGGAGAACGAAAATCGCGGGGTGAAACAGAAAATGCTTGAATTCCGTGTGTTCACTGTGCGGCATCGGGGCAGTCCGTTCACCGGAGCGTTATTGCAACAATTAACGCTCGCGGTCGAGCTGTCCGCCGCGCGGTCGTCGTATCTTTTTCCGCTGCAAGGTTCAATAACACTTGTCACCGCCGTTTGAAACGTATCGTCCGCGAACGAGCAACAAAAGCAACTTGCGCTCTACGGCCGCGGCGACGGCGATACGCATGTCTTTCCCTTCGATCGTGCGGGATCGCGATGAAAAAGCACGAGGGGAAAAAAACGAATCGAAAGAGAGACAGAGAGAGAGAGAGAGAAAGAGGGAGCAACGTTGCGCGTGTGTTTGTGTACGCGTATGCAAGAAAGCGTGGTTCGATATTAATAAACGGTCCGGAGCAGCGAAGATAATCCGTCGATGCGTCATCCCCGAGGCAAAAACAAAAGGCAGGCTGAGAGAGGCCTTGCTCGCGAGTTGCCGTTCGGTGGAAACGGGCAGCCGTTTGTACGGCCGCGAGAGTAAACGAAAGAATGGAATAAAGAGCGAGGTAATTAATCCGATAAACGGGAACACTTTGTGTAACGTTGCATAATGCGAATTCCATAATCGCGGGAGATGCGCCATGGTACCGTTCTTGTTTTTCTTTCCCTCGTAATAATGCCGCGTCTGTACGCGATAGCCGCGATTGCGGCGGACGCGTGTCGCCATTTACGTGGCCGCGGTTATAAACTCAACGTCTCGCTCTTCTTTCCATTATCTTTCCTTGATCTCTGTTTTTCAATTATCCCATCCGCGTTACACGGAACCATCTATCCCCTACGATTATAAAATTATTCAAATAATAAATCAGTCCGCGCTTCGAGATCCCAGATAGAGTCGTCGAGTAGTATACGGTTCAAACCTTTGATCATCACTCACGATTCTTTTGAACTACGCGTATCTTATAGATCAATTCTTTTCCTCACGCCAGAAGGGGTAGAGAGATTCGACGTCGCGACTTGATAAATCATCCGCGTTGCATCCGACCTGCATAACAGCCGTTGAACTTGCGAACCTAGAACCGGACGTGTCTGACCATGCGTGACCAGGAACGTGGTCAGTTCGACGTGCTAGAAAGGTGTAGTGGCTACGCCGATCCGATCGGATCCAAGCCAATACAATGTTTCGGCCGCGGCTCGAAAGTTGTTATCGTGCACGTGGCGAAACGCGATTAGGCCTACAGACACATACGAATTTTAGCTACGATTTGATTTATCGCGATTAGATCTACAAGTAAAACAGAGATACTCAGCGGATTCGATTCAGTACTATATTTCTTATGAAATTATATGAAGACATTGTCTTTAGATGCAAACTGGCAGAGACTTCTTGAAGAGCTCGATTCTTACGTTGTCGATCGGAGACACAAGTTTCGTTTCCGATCTTTTTATAAAACGGTAGCCGTGGTTTTACGAGCGTGACTAATCGGATAACGCATTTTAAGAATATCGGCGCGGTTGCGTTGCACCGTTAACGATGAGAAATTGATCGGAGCATGCCTTTTGTATGTACATGCTCCGCGTGTAATTAAAAAGTAGTGGGCGACCACGAGGTATTTTCATATAGCGTTGAAGAGCGTACCAACCAATTATTATCGAACGGACCGTTTCCCGAGAAATAATTAGGCTACGAAGAATTTAGGTAGCGAACGCGATCTCCCGTTACGCGAGCAGCAAATCCGATGCATTAAAACAGGCGCTTGTTACTTTTCACGACGCACGCATCGATAAAGGTTCGTTCGACTTGTCTGATTGCAGATACTGGCGCGCCCTACGTATTGTACAAGGACAACATGGAGAGACCCCAGGGCCAGTGGGGCCCCGGGCCGGGATCTCTCCAGGACGGGGGACTGTACCCGCAGCAACAGCAACAGCAGCAACAGCAGGGCTCCTCCTCGTCCGGCAGCCCACAGCAGGCCTGTGGTCCCCCCGTCGAGGGAGAAAGCGGTCCCCCGCCTTCGTTGGCCTCCCCCGTGCCCTCGCCGTACCCCTCGGCACCGCCTGAGCCTCAAGCCCTAACCCCACCCGACGACGATATACAATCCAACCAGGCCACCTCTCAACAGCAGCAACAGCAACAACAACAGCAACAGCAACAACAGACCCAACAACAAGTTCAACAGCAGCAGCAAGTTCAACAACAACAGCAGCAGCAGCAGCAACAGCAACAACAAACGCAACAGCAGGATCACTCGCCTCAGCAACAGCTGACGCCCCACGAAGTGGACCGGAGCGATTGCTTCCCAGGCGCGGGGGAGCTGCAGCAATACCCGCAGCATTATTTCAAAGAGGCAAGGCCGCATCCGTCGCCGTCGGTACCGCCGCACATGCTCACACCCGGCGGCTTCTCCGCGTTACATTACTTGAAACAGCCCGGCGTGATGCTGACCTCGCTGGGCCAGGGCGACGGTGGGCCCGGCCTGGACGCGCATCAGTACGCCAGCCCCGGCGCGCCGAATATGGCCACCGGGCTGCCGGACATCGTCCAGCAGAGCGGGAAGTCCGGCAAGGGGGCGAACAGCGATCTACGCTTGTTCAAGTGTCTGACGTGCGGGAAAGATTTTAAGCAGAAGTCGACGCTGCTGCAGCACGAGCGGATCCACACGGACAGTCGACCGTACGGGTGTCCGGAGTGCGGGAAGCGGTTCAGGCAACAATCGCATCTAACGCAGCACCTGCGCATACACGCGAACGAGAAGCCGTATGCCTGCGTGTACTGCGAGCGTACGTTCCGGCAGCGTGCGATCCTCAACCAGCATCTGCGCATCCACTCGGGTGAGAAGCCATACCAATGTCCGGAGTGCGGAAAACACTTCCGTCAGAAGGCGATCCTGAATCAGCACGTCCGCACACACCAAGGCGAGCATTTCTCTCTGCCTCCCAGACTCCCAGAGGGCGTCCACCACAACCACACTGACCCATTCACCGGTTCTTTTACTGTTACTGTTACTATATATTCACCAACGCCACCGCCGCCACCATCGTCTCTCATCTATGCTTCATCGGTCATCGTTTAGATTAACGCTCTTTTTATGTGTATAGACCGTCGCTGCCTATCGTCTTCCATCACCATCGTTCGTCTCTACTGCCTTCCATATTTGCCATTCTTTCTTCCGCTGGGATTCGTTTCTCCGCACTCGGCTAACTAACCCAGTCATCTCGCTACGTTTCTTTCATGTAATATTATTCGAATCTGGTTTCTTCATCCGCTTAATCCTATCCCCGGTGCCGGTTCCCAGTAGACGGACGCGATCGCGTACGGTTGCCCGTTTCGCAGTTTTCCTCGAGTAAAATCGATCGAAGCATCGGTCTCGTTGCCGCCAAAAGCCTACCGAAGAATGAGAACGGTTGAGCTGGACGCGAGAGTGCTGGCGAGCTGTGAGATAGAGGAGCCCCCTTCTAACAATCTTTCCCATTCCCAGAATTTAATCCCTATCTACTTTCTCTGTCCGAAACGACATTAACAATACGTCTGTTCTAATTTGATTAACAAACACTGTCTAATTGCCCTTGACTAGAGTTTCCCTGTAGAAAAACGCGTGAAGGTGGAGGAGGTGGTTTTACGATCTACGGCAGATATCGCGTTGCTTGACATTAACTCTCGCGATTAAAATCGAAGTTTAACGGAGCGGTTAGCTTCTGGGTTCAAGGGTGCATTCGCTGCGGCGAATCTGAATTTCACATCGGAAAACCGTTCTTTTTACTAGTAGTTTTCTTCTTCAGTGGTCGCGTGGTACCGCAATCCGGGCGACTAACAAAAATAGAATGAAAACGTTCCTCCACCGTGTCGACGCCTCGCAACCGGGGTTAAACTCGGTCCCGATGCCTGTTACAGACGTGAGCCCGCATCTGATCTTCAAGAACGGGATGACGCCGACGCTCTGGCCGCAGGACGTCCCGTTTCCACCGGAGGAGGGCAAAGAAGAGGTCGCGTCGACGTTCGGCGACACGGACACGCAGTCGGGCGCGTTCAGCCCCGCGCCGGACGCGAATTCCATCCAGTACCCGGCGTACTTCAAGGACCCGAAGGGCGGCAATCATCCGGTTTTCGGTGCCGGCGGTACCGGCAGCTTCGGTGCGCTTCAATACATCAAACAACAAGGCGGTAGCAAAAGCTGTTTACCGGACGTGATACAACACGGTCGCTCCGCGGGGATGCCATTATACGTCCGGTGTCCGATCTGCCAGAAAGAGTTCAAGCAGAAGTCGACGCTGCTGCAGCATGGCTGCATCCACATCGAATCGCGGCCGTACCCCTGCCCGGAGTGTGGCAAGAGGTTCAGGCAGCAGTCGCACCTCACCCAGCACCTACGCATCCACACGAACGAAAAGCCGTACGGTTGCGTTTACTGCGGCCGTAACTTCCGTCAGCGCACGATCCTTAATCAACACTTGCGCATCCACACCGGCGAGAAACCGTACAAGTGTCAGCAGTGCGGCAAGGATTTCCGTCAGAAGGCGATACTGGACCAGCACACACGCACCCATCAGGGCGACCGGCCGTTCTGCTGCCCGATGCCGAACTGCAGGCGGCGGTTCGCCACCGAGCCCGAGGTGAAGAAGCACATCGACAACCATATGAACCCGCACGCGGCCAAGGTCCGCAGGAACTCGAGCAGCGACACGAAACCGCCGGGGACGCCGGCTGGTCTCGGCCCGGTACCGGTGCCCAGGGGCCTCACGCCGACGGTGGTGAAACCGGAGCTATATTTCCCGCAGTGTTACGCGCCCGCGTTCAATCACCAACCGCCCGTGTCGACGTCGCAATTCCCGGCACAGGCGAACGGCGTCTCCGTTGCCGGCGAGTTCAAGCCACCGACCGGCCTGCCGCCGCAGTGACTAACCGTCCATCCTGCCGCCTACTAGCAAGCAGGAATACCGCTGAGGTTTCAGCGATGCTTCGGTCACGCTTTGCAGACCGACGCCGCGACGGCGTCGACGACGACGCCGAGCGTCGCGTCGTACCGATGCAGCCAACCGATCCAGCAACACTACCCGTGACGTTTATCGTGCATTTACTAGGCTCCTTCTTTTCGTTTCGCGGTTTGCTCGCGTGCCGAGTTCCATCGCTTCGCACAGCCTCGGAACGCGTCGCCAGCTAGTTACTCGGCTCGACGGTGATCAAGCCACTTCGGTATTCTCATCGATTTCTTGTTCCGTTCAATCGTACCGAATTCGTACCGTGCAAATCATGCTGATCGATCGATGGTGCATTCAGTTTTAACCGCGTCTGACACGTGCGACCCGTTTCTACTTGCTCGGTCTTGTCACCTTACGCGTCGCGCACCTCGCCAAGGATACGCAGCTCACAATCGTTTATTCTGTTCTTTCGGATCATCGTTACCTGAAGAAGTATATTACGGAAGCGCATCGAAGTGCGACCGCGTTCTGTAATACTACCAATAGTGTTCTACCGTGTTTAGAGGCAACAGACTGCCGGCTGACACGCGCCAAGTCACGAATCGAACCGAGCTGAGCGACTGCAAATGGGTTTCGAACGAAGAACCGACGGAGAGACCGAGCAGAGGAGAGACGGGAGACCGTTGTGTGTCGTTCACCGTCGAGCCGATCGACTGGCGCCAGAAAAATGGTGACTCAACCAACGAAGAATTTCTCGTCTATTCCCCTCTCCGCCCCATACGTATTTTTTATATATTAATCGATCAACGGCGTACCTTATCGCGTTTTTTTCGTGGACATGCGAATAGCTCGAGAGAGTTCGGTGGTTCCGCGCGCGCAGGCCGTCCGAGGTGTCGTTCGTCACACCGTTCTCACACACGCAAAAAATTACACACACACACACACACATACACACATACACACGCGTACGTGGTATGAAACGTACACGAGAGAATAAAAGAGTAACTCGTATCCGAGGGGTGGGTTGCGACACGGATATGAGAAGACGTTCGATTTCGAAGATCGGAGTTAGAACAAGAGAAAAAAAAAACAAAGTTGATAACGATTGTGATACGATATTTAACTTGCCTATGTTTAATGAACCAGAAAGAAGAGTTGGAAGAGGTGAACATACGACCACGAGAAGAATGTCTGTAAATATGTAAAGCCGTTCACTCCGACGAACGAACAAATGAACGCGGAGAAGAGGGAGAGAAAAAAATATTGAAACGGCGCGAAAAAGAGCGAGCAAGAGCGTACGAGGCTGGCTGCGTGGATGCGTTGTCGTGTGAATGAAATGAGTGAAAGAGAGAAAGAGAGTTGCGAATGCTCGCGAGGAATCGAGAGTGGCGCAGAGACGGAAGATACCGCGAGTGGGTAGGATCGCCGTGGGACACAGTGGGGAGTAGATAAAAAGAAGAGAAGAAGACGAGGCGAGGGAGATGCGAAAAAACGAGAGGAGATGGGAAGAGGAAAAAGAAACGGTAAGATTAGGGAGAGAGAAAAAAATAACGCGAGAAAGGGTGAAAGCGAAGGAGGTAAGGGGAGAGATTAGATAGGATTTACGTGGACGGCGTATGCCCTCGAAATGGTGAGCCATAGCATTTCTTTTTGGTTTTTATTTCTTTTCCTCGGGGTACGGCAAATTCGACGGTGACGATAGTTTCCCGCGATGGGAAGGTACGACTCTTGCATACTATAGTAATATTTGAATGTATATTTATACGACAGGTTATATTATTCTATTATTAACTATAATGATGATATTTTGAATCGGTTTTAAAATCAGATTGGTGCTGAACACGTAACACTAGGTAAGCGACACAAAGCGAAACAGGAGGAAGAGACGAGAGGAAAAAGAATACGAAAGAGGAGGGAACGTGGAAGAAGGCTGAGACACCGTAGAGTAGCGTAAGTAGGATAGTCGATAGAGTAGATCGAGAGAGAAAGAGAGAGAGAGAGTGTGAGAGAGAAAGAGAGAGCGTAGCAAATCGTGAAATGAAAGAAAGGGAAGATAAAAGACTTTCGAAGGACCTTGGTCAAGGCCGCTCATCCGGAACTTAATAATAATAATATTAATAGTACTAATAATAATTAATAGTAATACTGATTATATTAATAACGCAATTATCAACACATCAGCCGGAGAACAGTTGAAACGAACGAAAAGGAATATAATAGCAAAACTGAAATGAAATGTCTTGTGGCAATACTTAAGAAAAGGGGAATGATAGAAGAAACACGTACACGAACACGAAAAGAACACAGAACAAGGAAAAACAAAAATATTGTGGAAATTTCAACTTACTAGAAGATAGTCTTTTAAATTTCTATATTAAGACGTGTGATCTCTCCAATTATTGTACATTATATTATATATATATATACATATTATATATATATTATAATGATCTATATCTATAGATGACGAGATGCATAAGTATATGATTACGATTATACGTATATTAGGCGTTCTACAGTTAGTCTTTTATCATTTAGAGACACAGAGATGATCTGAAGATGAATAATTGTGCGGCCATATTCTCTGTGGCCTGTTCGTAGTGCCTCGGAATTGCTGCTCACGGCAGTGATTTGATCGTATTTTAGGATGGTATATTAATAATTATATTGAGAACTGCAATTATCGATACTCTGATGCAGTACGCGATACGGGAAAAGTGAAGAGAAGTGAGTCCGAAAGGAAAATGATACGAAAAAGAAAAAAAGGAGAGAGAAGGGTTAAAAAACGAAAAGTGAAGACAAGAGTCTAAAAATAAAAAATAAAGAGAAGGAAGGTAGCGAGTGAATGAACAAAAGTGATCGTGTCGTCAGGCGTCACGTTAATCGACTCATTAAATTATTAAAGATCTACTTATAACGCGTTTACAAAAATAAGTTAGCGGAAAAAAGAACAGGAGCGCGAGAAACTGACAATGTGATCTTTCGCTGATAATCGTTGTTTTTTTATATCGTAATATTATTATTATTACCCTCGTGTTTCTCTTTTTTCTTTCTTTCTCGTTCGTTGCGAACAGGTTGAGAAGAAAAAGAAACAGCGAAACGAAGAAACGGCTACTTTAAAAGGGAGTTCTTCGCGATTCACGAGTATTGGAATCGTCACGATGTGCGTTTCACGGTAATAATCGTTTGTGATATTTATCTTGATCTTTTTTAGATCCGATCGCTTCCCTCTTCTAGTTCGCGTTTAACGTGTTCGACCTCGCGACGCGCCAAATTAAATGAAACGTTGCCTCGATCGTTGACGTTCTTATGCCTTTTTAAAAAACTCCAGTAAACCGCAGTTACGAGAACTACAGAATCTCAGAATCGATCGATTCGAGTATTTAAACCGGAAAAGCGATTGATAACCACGAAAGCTTCCAAGGAACTTTTTTTTTTTTCCATCCATTCGTCATTTTTTTGGTTAAATTTTTGGAGCCGCGACAAAAAATACGTGCCGCGCGCGAAAACAATAATTCAATCTTTTCGTTCGGCGACGGGACGACAAGAGCGGTTCCGCGCGAAATATTATACAGGCCGGTGAAATAATAATTGGTTTATTAGCTGTTTGTAGATCGATGGAGCGGACGCAACGTGAACACGCTCTGTCGGAGAAGGAAAATCGATCATCGGGAATTAGTTAAATGATCATTCGTGACGTGAACGACGTTCAGTTAACATCGTTTTCTACCTTTCTTATGCTAATTGCTCGTTTGATTCGCGAAGACTGGCTCGGGGTCCCCTCGAGTATTTGGCATCGCGCGAATTAATTATATCTACGTAATAAGAAGGAATACTCGTTTTGCATCAAAGATTTGTAAAAAATGTAGATACGAGCTTTTTTGTTTTCTTTTTCTATTGTTTGTTCTAACTGGTCGTGTACTCAAAGTAACGACGGCATCTCATTGATTATTATTAAGTCCCCTCTCACGAGATTTTGCATACGGTGCAGTTTAGATTAGCATCTTCTCTTCCTACTCCTTTCGAACCGGGTTTCTCCTTTTCTTTTTTTTACCGCCACACTTTTCATCCAACTTCTATTCTTCTGTGACACTCCTCGATTATACAAGCCGTGAACATCGTTGACACATTTCCTTGTCTTTTTGTAATTCGTTTTTACACGCTAATCTTTATCGAGATAATCAACTACTGGCGCTTTATGCTTATTATACTCTCTAATCCCGCAGTCAGAAAATCGGCCGTACGTTATGAGCATAGACATATTTATATAGTGCGTTCCGGAGAAGAATGGAAGCAACATCGGGACCGGACACCGGAGTTCGAAACTGTTTATAATCCTTTATTACATAGATATATGAAATACTTTATAGTTGCCCGCGACTACGGTACTATCTGCAGAAAAAAGGGGCGCGCGACAGCCAGCAGCTGATCTGGCCCGAGACGACAGGGACGCGTTTTATAGAGATTTTTACTTTTAAGTTCCGTGTATACGTGCCGGTCGCAGAGAACTCGTTGCGAACTGCTGCGAAACTGGTTTCGGGTGGTTGGACGACGTCAGAACCTTGTGTGGTGCCATTTCGATCGACGAAACACTCCGACGAGCGTCGTCGGTACGCGAATGCGGCAAAGAAAAAAAGGAACAACGACGAAGAAGAAGGGGAGTGAAAAGAAAAAAATAACACGTATAGAGGCAAAAAGAAAAGGAAAAAAAGGGGGGCGGCGATAGGTACTGTGATATCGATTCGCTACATAGCGAAGATAAAGAGACTAAAAAAGAAAAGACGGAGCGCGGAGAACAATCACGAAAGCCCTGTGTACGCGCGCGATCGGATGATCCACGAGACGATACCGTCGTGACGATAACCGTCGATGTGTATACGATGCTACGATAACGTTTATTTATAAGCGACTTTTCTATTCTAATCTGTGTACAGTGTATGCAGCGCGCCGGCTAATAGGGCTCGTGGATTACGTCCGGTCTTCTGGCTCGCGTGCGCCACAGTAGAACGTGTCCAGACGAGTCAGACTGAACCGAGACGGGGACTCGTTTCGCGAACCGTTCTTCGCTTCGATTCCATCGACTTTGAACTTTAGACCCGTTTCACACTAGCTGCGAGCAGTATGCTTTAATTTCAGTCACTCATAATTAGACTGCGAATCTATACGCAGAATAAAACATTTGTGATATAAATTTGAAAAATTATAAATTGCGATTTCTTGTATTCTTTAAGCGTTTCACTTTTGATATACGTCATTGAATATTGAACAAATTAGTCGTATTCTCTGCAGATGCAACATTTTTATATTCAGTTAATATCGGACTATACGTAAACGATTTTTTGACTGATTTCACCTGACCATACTGTGACTGCTAGTGTCTCGTATCAAACGTTACGGGAAAATATATTCTGGAAGACCCCTCGTTTGCGCACTGAACGAATCGGTCTTATTATGAATAGACGACGATGCTCGCAGTTCCCACGTCGATCGAATAAACTATTTCGCGATACCCGACGTCGTCCGGCCGTACCTCCTGCTGCACCGACGAACTTTTGTTAAAAACTGAACCTTGTTACTGCTACCTACCGCTACGATTGCATTTATTATTTGTCATATTATATTTTGTCTTTTATATTTATCACTTGTTGCACGTTTCATCGAGAGAGTGAGAGGGAGAGAGTGAGTGAGTGAGTGAGAGAGAAAAAAGTAAATTAAATGTGGAGAGTGCGAGAGAGCGGGGACGAACAAACGTGGAGAGAAAGGACTACCGAGTACGGGAACCATTCCTTTTCCCGGGATTTCATTAATTTTTTTATTAGATCCGTTGCAATTTTGTAGTTTTTAGTACTAGTTTTCTTTTATCTCTCAAGGTTCCGTGGTTCGAAGAAACGAAGAGAGCCGCGTTGGGTCGCGTCGTACCCCTGTCGTTTACCGAATGCTCAACATAGATTAGGTTATTAAGCTTTATATATTATTAACTATATTATAACGGTTATTGTAAATTATTGTTTTCGTTCTTTATCTCTCTTGGTTTGTAAGACTCAGGGTCACGGTCCCGCAGACGGGGCCAGGCCTCGCGACAGGGCGACGGGCACCCGGGACATCTCTCTTCTCTCTTTAGACTCCTCCGCACGGTTCTCACGTACTCGTACACGTTCTGTTCGCGTTCGTTTTATTTCCTTTTTTTGTTTGTTCATCAGAGAGGGATTACATGCACACGTGCCTCCGTTTTCATGCATTATTACTAATTTATAACGATCCGACGACGTATCTTTTTTTTCCTCATTCTGTAAACACGATCACCGCCGCAACCGACTCCCCGTTCGACAGCGCGAGATCTCGCTTTCAAAATTTAGCTTTAAAATTTTCGATGCGGACGCCGATGCAGGTGCAATACATTACGGATGTGCATATGTACACTTAGGATCGTGCCGCGGTGCGTTGAAAACTGTACCACGAGTATTCGGTTGAAAAATAGTCGGCAGGCGTTCTACCGGGGGAAAAAGAACGAAAATGACCAGCGATGGGGGGGAGGAGTTGGTAACGACGGAGGAAAAAATTTTGGTCGCGAAATCGTCGCCGGAAGAAGCATTCTGCCGCGTAACTCCGTTCTTCCGCGTCGACGTCCCTTTGTTTCCGTGTAATTGAAAACCGGTAGAGCGCCGGGCGTTAATGTTACTTTGTCCGGGCGCGTTTCGAGAGCTCGCGAACACGCGTGCACGTGGCCAAGATGGAAAAATGCCGAGACGAAAGAAATTCGTTTCCCCGTTTCGTTTTATCGTTTCGGATACGTAGCCTTTATTTGTTTTTATTAAAGAAATTTCGAGCCTCGATGGCTCACGCGAGCCGAGCGTACTTAGTGTTTCAACGCACGCGTATATACGCGCGTCTTATTTATATATAAATATTATATATAGATTTTTTATATATGTATACACACGAACTCGCACGATCGTAAATGTAAAAGAGTTTGAGAGTACGTTATATACGTTAAAAAACGAAAAAAAGGAAAAAAATTATGAGGGATGATCACCGATGTTAGCGCATGGCGCCGGTGACAGAGATATGCATATATATATATATATAAATATTATATATACCGTTTTTTTTTATTTACGATTTTTATAATATTTACACGAGAGCAGCGAATCACTGAGCCAAGACTGACCTCTTTGTGTTTCTCCTTAATTCGCGCGCAACGTTTCATTTTGTTCAATGTTTTTCCTTATTTTCTTTTTTTTTCTAATTTTAATAATCTCATCTTCCGAGTCCCTTTGTTAATTTTTCTCTGTTCGATCTCTCTTCGAACGCACTTGTGAATGGGAAACCGAAGCACAGAGAGAGAGGAAGAGAGAAGAAACGAAACACAACCCTTTCCTAATCAACAACTGTCATTTTTTTTTTAAGAAAACGAAAAAGAACAAAAAATATGCAAGAAAAAAAACTCCTCGCAAGATCACAATAAATTTTTAAATAAAATCTATTTTTTCTTATGTACTCTTTTCATTGCGCTCTTATTTTCTCTGCTTTTCACCATTTTATTTAGTTATTAATAGGCCGCAGATTTTCATGCAAAATGAAACCCAGATAAGAATTTGTCTCGTCTTTTAAAAGTAATAATACGCATTTCACTATCAGTCTTTTTGTGTGTCTTATGATTATCACGTTTTCATTGTTCTATGTATGAAATCCGCGGTCTAGTTCTCAGGTCCACTTTACAGCGTTTCTCATGACTACGTCGTGGACCACATGAACGAGTTTTATTTCAAGTCTTTGTCCCGAATGATTTCTTTGTGTTATCGTCCCAGTCTGAGTCCAGTTCTCGTTGCTGTTCGGAAGATGCAAATTCACGTCGGAACCAGGTTCCTGATAACAATTTAGGGAGGAATGGCATCGCATACAAGCTTGCTCTATTTTTTCTCAATTACTCTTCGACTCTTTCATAGATAATACTTGCTAGTATGAGACTAATCAAAAAAATAACGAAAGAGGCGTCGAACTTCTCATATCGACATTCATTTCTGCATTATATTTATTTGTATAAGTTCCTATCGACGTCGATTTCGAACGAAAGAGAACGGTAATCTTGTCCAAGGAACAAACTACATGCAAAACGACGATCGCGGGTGTTGAATTCAATTTGCCGGTGGAATAAATTCGGGCGGGCGTCGTAAATCCATGGATGGTACACGGTCCCATCGCGGTGCAACCAGTTTTGCGCGCGGCCACTCGTCAGAGCGCAGGTTCGCGGACTTTGTTTGGATTATTTGTGCGTGCACACACTCGGCTAATACGAGGCGCGAGAGAAGATGCTAAACTCCATTACGCGGAATCGTACATTAAAATCTCGTGCCCGAGCGGACGCAGAAACCATTTGCTTTCATCGAGAATCCCTCGTGCCAGAGGTTCTCGTTAAATCGCGAAAATACCTAAACCCTTCGCTTTTGAAAGGGAAATCTTATGTCTGAAGCAGGCGCTGATCTCCGTCGAGTTTAAGAATAATTTTGCATAAGGTCTCAGAGTACATCAAATATCACGATACTCAGTGGAGTGTTATATTTTTCTCAGATCGAGTGGCTCGTTCTACATTTTCAATTTACTTTCTCCATTTCGCTGGAAGGTCTCGAGGTTCTACGAAGACCGAACTCCGAACTAAAAATCGCGCACGAGAGCGAGAGGGGAGGTGGAGGTTGCCGACGAAATTCGATCGATGACCATCGAAAGAAACGGAGCCACGATGAGGCAACAAAGCCGAGAGAAGGCACTCGCGCTCGCTCGATCCCCGTCGATCGATCCTCGAAAAGTTCGACCGATTCGCGAAACTCGCGCGCGGGACATAACGAGTTTGAGAAACTCTGCCGTCTGCGAGAAGGTGCGCGACTGCACTTGACTTTCCAACTTTGCGACCGGCGCGGCGCGGCGCGCGGCCACAAAAGCGAGTCTGCTGCTCCGTCTATGCGAAGTCTGCGCGATTCTGTTACGCTCGCCCGGCAGACGGGAAAGGGATGAAAATTGAAACTAGGAATACCGTTCTCGACCAATAACCCGGTTGACCAAACGCGCGTTCACCAAATAGGACTATCATATACGTTAAGAACGAAGCTCTTTCCGTTCGCTATACTTCGAACAGCTGTTACGAAATTGCCATGAACCTGACGTTGAAACGGTTCTCTCGAGCATGAAATACAATCGATTGTATTGCATTAATAATTCGATCTCGCAATCAATTTCTTGGGAGTAAAGTTAAATGGTTTAAACAAAACACGATAATAAGAGATAAAAGGAAAGCAAAGTTTACGGGCGATAAGATTCGAATCGAGGAATGACATCGTGGACCCGTGACCCATCCGAGCGGTTATAAAATCCGGACTGCGATAAGGCTACCGACGTGTATACATACAGACGCTGGAAATCGGGCAGAACGGCGCGTTAATGTCGTTATTGCCAAAAATGACGAGGAACGAGGAGTTTACGCGGCTCACCGATACCATCAGCGTGCCATCTTAACCAGCCGCGCACCGAATCCGGTTAGACCGGTTCGGCGAGACGTTAGATTTTCGCGTGATCGCACTTTCGGTTTCTGAATATAGTGTCCTTGAATGGAGTCCTGCTCCGCGAGCGGCCCCGGCGTGGCTGGCCGAGGTGATGCAAGAATGAGTGCAGCGAAATTTAAAAATCAAAAAACGAGTCGACTTACGAGTATTGAAACAAAAATAAGAGCCACCGAGCAAAGAGAGAAAAATGTATGCTCGGGACTTGGGTAATTACGGGCCTTTATCCGATGTTTCGGATTTCATTGCTGGCCCGTCCCCGGTGATTACGTCTTCGTTACACCTCGGCCGAGACGAATTTCGGTACCCGGGATTATCGATATGATTTTAATTGAACGACAGTTGCTCAACCGAGGGAACGATCTTCGAAAGGAGCTTAATTAGCGGATTGGTAATTACGAATTTTCAATGACGGCCACGCGTCGCGCCCGTCGATTTCTTTCACGTATGGCAACAGCCCCGCCTAATCGATGTATGATTTATTCGTCTTACGTACATATATACCGGGAAACCGGTTCCAAACTGCGCTTCAAAAATAACTATTTACCACGCTACGTCAGAAGCGGATCTCGTGGTAGGACAAATTACGATAAAACAGTATCGAGTGGTTAAATTAAAAATCGCGTTCAATCATTATTCCCGAGGGCTATAAAAAAAATATGCAACGTTGTGAAAAGAGGAGATTGGTTACACTCGAGGAGATTATACGGAGCTGAGAGCGCCCGGGCTAATCCTTGCTTCTCGAGAGGCTCGGCAGGCCTGGCCAGGGTCTCGTTGCAAAACGTAAGTCGAAGGACGCGAGCGGAGGCATTGGAACGGCGCGGCGCGAAGAATGATGGATCATCGTGCATGCCCGAAAACCCGTCGGGACTGCGCGCGGATGAAGAATGCTGCCTCGGGATGAGAGGAATCCGGCTGGCGGAGCCGAGACGAAACGCAAACGATATCGGCAATCGAAAAGCAGATTGATCGGCGCAAACTAAATCCGAGCTTGATTTTTGTTTCTCGCTTCGAGTATCGTCCGTGTCAACGGGGAGATCGTGTATTAAATTCTTTCGGTAGTGTCGTCGACAGATGAGAGATCCGATTGGATCGTTAGCAACGTTGAATCAGAGGAGTACCGTGATAATGAGATGCTGAACCGTGCATGAACTCGAGTCTTGGGAACGGCCAAAAAACGGCTTGGAACCAAGGAAAAAGGAAGGTTAGCCGGGCTCCCGGTGAACGCGCGTACGCTGCTTCACGTGGGAGAACGGGACGGCGACGAATATAGAGAGAATCATCCGTGAAATAGCAACAGCAACGGTCTGCAGAGGAGCATGAGGAAGAGAGAAAGGAAGAAAGAGAGAGAGAGAGAGGGACAGAGAGGGATGACTGGTACGAGCACGGCCCAAACAAGGAGCTCCTTCCGAGAAGGAGCGACGAGGAGGGAAGTCCGTGATAAATATACGAATCGGCCCGGGTGCAACGGAGAAGACGATTAACCGGGAGAAAGAGGCGCGAGAACTGCGGCAAAAACAACAAAAAGGATTGCATAGAAAACGAGAGGGAGAGAGAGAGGGTTGATTCTGTACCCCGTTCCGAATAAACAGAAACGAAGCTGAAAACGGTGGAGAGGAGAGAGCATCGGTGGAAAAAAAATCACACGATAAACACGGTGGAGAGAGTCGATAATCGCGGAGAGTGGGACGAGATCAGACGCAGCGGTGAAAGACGCGGCGAGGACGGAGACGGAGATAGAACGGGGCCCGTGAGGACGCGACGGTGGGACCGGCGCGGCGGAAAGGGGCCCCGGAGATGAAGAGGGTAACGGAGAGGAGAGACCCTCGCTCCGCCGTGAGTCTCCCCGACTCATAACTGGTTAAGCTGGAGGGGGGAACGCCCTTGACTCGGACTCTCGGTTGGCGGGGGAGTGGGCCCACGGTTGCGGCCTTGAGTCGGCCCGTCTCGTTCTTCGACAGCGTTTCTCAATCTCGCAGTCTCGTCGGGGGTCTACCGACTTGCGTCGCGTCGTGACGTTGTGCCCGAGAAAACTTGTAATCGACGCGCGAGAGAGAAAGGGAGACAGACGGGAAAGGGAGACCCGCGTCGTCGTCGGTGTACAAGAGGAGTCGATCGGAGAGAAAAGGAGAAAGAGAAGGGACCGCGGCCGTACGGACGGAGCCGTAGTCGGTTGGTAAGCCGCTCGGTAGGGTCAGGTGGCCGACATTGTTTTCGTGACATTCCTATGCTATTCGTGTTTTCGCGGTCATGTCGTTCTTTGGTTTCTGTCTTTCCCCCGATTCTTGGTAGACGACCGACGGAGATCGATCGCGCACGCGGAGAACTCTGTTTGCCTGCGACTCCGACTGATTCACCGAACTCCCTTTCCAAGTCATCACCGATCGCTTTAAAGGAGAGCGTGCGAGCAAGATATAATTTGTAGAGATTCGATGACTGAGTTATCGTACAACACGTATAGAAACACAGAATTGGAAGTAGAGACAACCGACCACGGCGAAAGCTAATCATCGGCAAATCGTCAGTCACGCGGGCCTCTCGAAATGAGTCGTGGTTTAAAGAATGGTTCAAGGTTCGTGAACTTGCCACGACGATCGTCGCGACGGCTCTTACGAGAGGAGCCCGGGTTCAGGAGGAGAGTAACGAGAGACCTCGCGGTGTTCATACAAGCCCGCTCGTTCACTCGTTCGCCTTTGCCTCTTTCGTCTGGTCACGTGAGCAAAATTCCTTTTCGACGCAAACCAACGCGACGCCGGCGAGCCTGACGAGCTCGGAGGATCTCGTCGAAGAAAAAACATTCCGATGCGCTGATTGCATCTACCGCCGCGTTGAACCGGTGCATCAACGGGTGGAGGTGTTAATCGGGTTACGAGTATCCTCGATCCCCGAGCCGAGGAAGAACCGCGTTCCTCTCGACCACGTGGTATCGTGCATCATCTAAATTTCCCAGGCGTAAATTGATACAAAACAAATCCGGGAAACAACTTCTGAGGAAGATCTGATCCGAACCGATACCGCAATTTTGCGATCACGACATTAGAAAGGGATCTTCTCACGTGGCAGAGGGCTGCAAGCGTAATTACAATAAACGGCAACTGGGTCGAACGCGATCACGGTCGAGGAGAAACGGTTTACCGCTTTCGCGGTCCCTGTCATTTCGCGTGATTATCGCTGGAAATGCGCTGATGCCTCGATCCCGGCGCGGTAGAGACAGATACGATCGTGTATCATCTCGCTCGCGAGCAGATGAGAGCCAGTTATTATCGCTATCGCGGATACACTATCCTGCCTTTCGTTTGCTTCTTCGATTCGCGGTTCGTTCGAGACGCGTCTTCTAGCACGCATCGGGCTAATATCCCCGTGGTCGTCCGTGGTAATCGTTCATCGTTGGAGGCTGCCGGGATGGAATGGAGAGCACGGACGAACGACTTAATTACAGTCATCAGCCGGTAGCACGAGTCGAGAAAAAATAATCGCGTTCCGCGAGTGGACACAGAACAGGGTTGTTCGGCCCGACTCATTTCCATTGATCTCGTCCGATCTATCCCAATGCAATCATGAGTCAGACCAATGAGAGATAAACGATCGGAGGAAAAAAGGGCAGAGAGTATCCTCTCGCAGTGCCCCGGAAGGTGAAATTGAGGAAGTTGAGAACAAAACGCGGCTCGTCTGCCAGAAGCGTCTGCAAGGCTAAAAGAGCGGGGGACCGTGCCATGGTAAAAAGGAGAGGCAACGGGAGAGCGGACCGGGAACGCGAAAGGAGACGAAGCTTCGACGAAGAGCGGTGCGAGCAGACGCGAAGGGAAGAACGAGGAGACGGTACATCCGACGAGTATAGAGAAAAAGAAGCCCAGCGCACGCATTGGACAGAGAGACGGTTACGGCGATGCGAAAGGGTGAAGGAGAAGAAGTGCGATCGCGACGATCCCAAGGCCTGCGAGGACGAGCGAGAAAGAGAGCAGGGGGCGAAGTTGGTCCATACGACGGGCCGCGTATATATATACACGACGCAGCGAACACCCTTTATACTTTATTTTGCCTCGACGCGAAATACCGGCTGACAGTTACTCTCTCGAACGAAATAAAAGGATGGTCATCCCTCTTTCTCACTCCGTTTCTCTCCCTTACCGGCTCGCTCGGAAGAGAGGAGACCAACTCCGCGGAGGAACTTCCACTTGGCCTACTACTCCACTCCACACGCTTGCCCGCCACGGACGAGCTACCGGGGCTTTTCTTTTTACGCGAGGCCACTTCCTGTTCGAACTTTGTTTTTCTTTCTTGTCCCGTCGCCCCCGTCCGCCTCCTCCGTCTTTCTTTCTTTCGTTCCTTTCGTTTCCTTTCTTTTCCCTTTCTTGTTGTTGCCCGGCCAGACCCCGGCCACGGGATTATGTAACGCATAACGGAGAAATCTAAACAAGCAAAAGACCACGAAATCCACGCGGATCACCCACCCGCGCGATCCTCCTTTTGCGTTACGTTATCCTCCCTCCGCGCGTTCGAAATCTTTCTCTCGTGACTGTACCGTGCTCTCCCTTCGACCACGACCGATTCACCTTTCGAAAGGGAACTACAGCTCGGACCGAGTCAACCTTAATCAGCGGTCCACGGATTGATTTCGTTTGTTTGGAAACGCGATCGTTCCAATTGCATAAATTAACGGGAAGAACGAAACCCGTCGCGGGGACACCGTCCACACGTTATTCATGCGTGTACGCGCAGGCTTTCTAAGTCTTGCTCAATTAGAAAGTGCCACATCCGCGCCCCGCGGGCGCGAGTTCATTCGTATATTAAAATGGAATGTAATCTTCGCCGGCCGCGTTACACTTCGTCGACCAGAAACGTTAGAAACGCAGAATTTTAAACTTTTCAACTTATTCGTATCAAAGTCAGACATGCTGCCATGTCTAAATATCAATTAGCTTCAAGTAAGAAGTTGAACGTAGTTCCAGAAGGAAAAAGATTTTAGTGACAAGATTATTCAAATTAAGATCGTTTAACACGGTTAATGATTAATTTGATTAAATTCAATTTGGCCCTTGCTACGTCAAGGGCTGACGCCTGTACGAAGGGTGCAAATGAAGAGGACAGATGGTCGTTTCTTGTCCTCGGACTCGGGGCTGTTTCGCATAATAGCCGCCGGTTTTGCCGGTCGTTGGATTTAATCTATCGAGGTTTATGTCAGCCATTCCGCGGGCCGACAAACAACTTGCGCAGCAACAGGTTAATCGCGCTCGAAAACGGACCGCAAATGTTAAACGGTTGAATGATTTGTTACTTCCGTTGTCGCGTGAAAACTTAAATCGTTCAAACTCCGTCTTTGAACATCGTTAAAAAATTGACATTCTCGTTTTTCTTCTTATTTAGACACAGATCGAGTCGATAAGAAGCATTACCAGCAACATGTGTCGAAACGTGGATCATTAAATAAATGCGTCCTTGAATTTCAGCCAAAATTTTTACTGAAATCAATTAGGAGTAGATAATTAAATTTCTTATTGACTCAGCTTCTGTCTACTAAATTTCACATTAATGGAATTTTGCAAGGGTTGAGCTGGTAATCTCCGAAGATTGAACTTATACGATCGAGCTTAAAGTGAGTACACATCATCAGCGTGATCCGAGCGCTGTCCTTGGCGGATCATTAACCAGTCTCATACGAGTCAATCAGAGAGCCCCGGTGATCGATACGCTTTGTTTTCTCTCGGGCTACCGAGTGCCGGCCGTTGCTTTCGTTCCCTCCCGAGCCAGTCGAACTGTTTATTGTATGTACAAGAGCGAGTGGTTCTTTAGCTCGCGCGGCAGCTACCTGCCAATGAAACGCCTGCCGACCTTCGAATCGGAGTCTGACCGTTTTTCTGCTCCGCGCCGTGTCGGTAGCTCCTTGCCATGCGGGACCCGAGACCGTGCTCCGAAACGCGCGTATCTAAACGAACCCAGCGTCGAATGAACACGTACGGAATAGGGAAGAGAAAAACGAGCCTTTGATATACACAATCGCGCGGGCGAAAAAAGTGTGTCGGATTTTTAGAGGCAACGCTTCCCGAGTTGCATTTTATAAGGGGATCAATTTATGTTCGAATCAGAGTTCAACGAACGGGCGATGAACCTAAGACGATTCATTTTCAAACTCCTTCCTTTACGATTTTCATTTACTTAGGAGCAAATTCTTTCTGCAAAATGCACCAGTTATCAGCTTAAAGAATGAAGAATGTTTTAGATGAACATTGAAATATGCGTTCAGCTTTTAATATTCTGAATAGCTTTATAAACTACGTAGAGCACTGATAATTTCTGCAATTTTCTTCTAAACGCTTGGAATTCGCAGTCTATTTATAAGTCGAGGCATACGAATGTCGGCGAAAGGGTAATTTAAAATTAGTAAAATTGAGAGGTGTCATAGAGCATCGATGCGAATATATTTGCGAGCCTGACAAAGGGGTACGATAATTGCATCGAGAGCGATGGTAGTTAATGAAGAGAGAACCACGGAATGCTCGCAAAGGGTGGACACGTATTACAAAGGTGAATAGAATTCTAATGAAAACCGTGGCCCGTTTCATGCCGATACGTTTTTTATAAGGATTTTATACGAGAGAGGCGCGCGCGTAAAGAGGTACTTAACTTGTTTCCCTTGATTCTTCGTTGACGGAGAAAAGATTCCTCTAGCACGCGTAAAACGGGCTCGAGCGAAACGCTGACGAACAACGACTGTTAATTCTCAAAACGCGTATCCATTTTTATCATATCCTCGTTGTCTCTCACGCAGTTCATAAGTCTTATGACATACATTAGCCAATAACAGTTATCATTTAGAATAACAAAACGTACTGATTCTATA